TCCCTCCCCCCCACCCCTTTTCCTTTCTCCCTGTACCCTAGATTAGCCTATGACAGTTCATTTCGCTACAAACAAATCACGACCTGATATATTCTGACTTAGCGTATTTCTTCGCCTGTATTTCACACAAGAAAATATCAGTTGCCGGAAAAACTAGCGAATATCACGCTGATGAATAGTAAAATTTGCACGGAAACTTCTCTTACCTGCTTAACACATCAACACAAGCTTGTACCAAACGAATGGCTCGCAGCACCACCACTTCTGTGTCCTTATTCAACTCTGCCGAAAGCTGTATCCGGGACAAATGGGCATGCATTAGCAAATTAACCTGAAAAAAAAACCTCGGTAGAACTGATGAGCTAATCACCAGCAATAATATAATCGCCAAAACAGATATCGCAGGATCTTTTCCACTGAGGTATTAAATAGTTTTTAAAAAAAAATACCACGGTACATAGCCTCAAATACAAATAATGAAAGTAAAGTAATGTTAAAGAGAAAGTAATGTATTGAAAAAAAATAATGTCCTATATTTACATAATTCTTTTCCGTTTTTTTTTCCTTTTTTCCTTCACCTTTTTCCTTTTTCTTTCCTTCTTTACTTTCTCTTTAACTACTACTAACTTTGAATTAAATATAGGCCCCAGTTGGTACTTCACACAAAAAAAAAATTGCTCGGGAAATGTACTTCTTACATAATTCTTGTACTTCTTACTAATACTTACATAATTCTCCATTTTTTTCCTCTTTTCCTTCTTTTTCCTTTTTCTTTCCTCCTTTACTTTCTCTTTAACTACTACTAACTTTCAATTACATGTATGACCTCAGCTGGTTTTTGACACAAAAAAAAGTTGCCCAAGGAATGAACTTCTTTAAATTCTCCAACATTTTTGACGCCGCACCAAAATAGCCATCCTGTAAGTTAACCCAAGTTCGGTTGGTTTTCTTCTGAATGGAACGAGGAAAAAGGGATGAGATGGAGAAAAGCACCAACTTTGACATGCGGA